CCGTCCTCCCTTCCTCTCTCCTCCTCCTTCTCTCCTCCGCCGTTTCCTCCTCCTCCTCCTCATCATACTCCTCCTCCATCACTTTTCCTTATATATGACTTCTCCCTGGGGCCAATTGTTAGGGCCGTCGGACGTTTCGCCTGAAACTTCCTTGCCCTTAATGACCCTGAAGCTCAAACATTGGTAGCATCTTCACAGATGAAGGGCGGGTGGCTGTGTGGTTCTCGCTTTAGCGCCGCGCAAATTCGTGAAGGAATGCAAAAGTTTCACGGATTGAGGGGGGTAGTGTTCAAAATGCGGTTCTTCCCACAACGCCGCGCACAGTCGTTCTAGAAAATGAGAAAGTTTCACGGATTGAGGGCGGCTCCTTTTCCAAATTTGAGTTTCCGCCTTAGCGCCGCGCACACCCGACTTAATGTCGCAAGAGTTTCACGGATTGAGGGCGGGTGGTTTGCAAGATGTGGTTCTCTTTTTAGCGCCGCGCACATCCGCTGTAAAAATGCAAGAGCTTCACGGATTGAGGGCGGATGGATTTCAAAATGTGGTTCTCGCCTTAGCGCCGTGCACATTCGCTTATAAGATTTGCAAGGGTTTCACGGGCTCCCATGATCAACGTACTTGACATGGTGTTGTGGAAGGACTCAGGGTTACGAGGGTGCAACCGTTACGTTGGTTCGCGGTGTTGAAATCCCAGGAATGGCGTTCTGACCGATTCAGAATCGCCAAGACGCAACAGTCAGGTTGATCCGTGGCGTTGGAATCCCGAGAACAATGCTTTGGCATGTTCCAGGGTCTTCAAACGATTGTCTTCCAACGAGGCAGTTCCCTCAGTGAAAATGAACCGTTGTATGGGGCCTATTGGTTTACACTGATCCTCCTCTTCCTCCTCCTCCTTCTCCTCCTCCTCATCATCATCATCGTCCTCCTCCTCCTCCTCAGCATCCTCCTCCTCCTCCTCCTCCTCCTCCTCCTCCTCCCCCCCCTCCTCCTCTTCATCCTCCTCATCCTCCTCCTCCTCCTCCTCCGCCTCCTCCTCCTCCTCCCTCCTCTCCTCTCCTCCTCCTCCTCCTCCCTCCCCTCCCTCCTCCTCCTCTCCTCCGCCTCGTCCTAAACTCCTCCGCTTCCTCGCCTCCTCCTCCTCCTCCTCCTCTTCCTCCTCCTCCTCCTCCTCCTCCGTCTCCTCCTCCCCTCTTCCTGCCTCCTCCTCCTCCTCCTCCTCCTCCTCCTCCTCCTCCTCATCCTCCCCCTCTTCCCTCCGCTTCTCCCTCCTCATACCTCCCTCCCTCCTTCTCCATCCTCCTCCCCCTCCTCCTCCTCCTCCATCCTCCTCCTCCTCCTCCTCCCTCCTCCCTCCTCCTTCTTCCTTCCTCATCTTCCACATCTTCCCCAGATTGCTAAAGAAATACGCGTTGAGAAACTTCCCAGATTGATGAACCAAGAGCACCGCATAAGCATAAACTGTCGGAGCTCTTCGCGGACCTCTGAAAGTCTATGTTTATGCCGTCGATTGTTCCTCTACGACACGCCTGGTAGCCTCGGGTATGCAAGTGCCGATGGGAGGTCCCCGTAAGACGTCTTTCCGCTGGACCCCCCGGATCTCACAGAAGTGGCGTCAGTGGCGCAGTTGGCAGCACAGGAAAGCGAGGTAGAAGGCGGGCAGGAGATACGAGGCAGAAGGAGGGAGGAGGCGGGAGAGGGACGGGCACCACCAGCTCTGGATGCAAAACGAAGACCCAACGCAGGAGGGTTAGGAAAGAAGATCTCTGGGGCCCCCTCTAAAATTTGACTCGTCCTCCATGTCTCGCGTCCTGCGGGGCGGTTCCCGCGTGGGCGTGCTCGAGCTGCAGCACAGGCCCTGCACTTTTGAAGAGTGAGGCGATCGACCTGCGTCGGCCCATGTGCCCCCTCGTTTACGACTCCGTGCCCTGCGCAGGTGCGGGCGGAAAGTTTCGCCATCGCGCCGTAGGGAGGGGGTGGGAGCGCATTTGTTTGGGCTTTACCGAGAAAAGAGAGAGCCGTGAGCTCCGACGTCTCGAAAACATGCCACACCGCGAAAAAGCACGACCCGTGGCTTAGACCCCATGTCTATGCTGCATTTTTCGAGCCGGATCTATGCGTGATGGGAGGAGGAGGAGGAGGAGGAGGAGGAGGCGGAGGAGGAGGAGGCGGAGGACGACGAGGAGGAGGACGACGAGGACGAGGACGAGGAGGAGGAGGAGGTTGAGGAGGAGGGAGGAGGAGGAGGAGGAGGAAGTTTAAAAGATTTTCTTGTGTGAAAAGTGCCACGCCCGGAACTCAGGGGAGAGGGGGGGTGGGGGGCTTGGAAGACTTGCGGAAGACTTGCCAGAAAGTGCTTGGCATCGCAGCTTGCCCACACCGTGCAGGCACGGTGGCAGATGTATAGTCAGGACCGTTTGCTTAGCGTGTAGCGCCGCCGGCTCTGGCCCACCACGCTTCGGCGCGGCACGCTCACCACGCCCCAGTCCCCAACCATCCACGTTTCGAGAGGTTCCCAGCCTCCCGCCCCGCGGAGCGGAGCGACACGCCCTCCGCCTGCAAGGCATAGCGTGCCGCCGAGGCCGCCGCCGCGACACGCTGAGCACAAGTTCCCGACTGCAGCATCCTGCTGCCCAGGTCTGGCGCCGCACAACCGCATGGCCATCGTGCAAGTGGTCGACCTCGCGGGCCGCGAGAGCGAGCAGACCTCGGAGTGCACAGGCCCCTCGCGCAGGGGGGGTCGGCCTGACCGGCGGCTGGCCGCTGTGCTGGCTGAGCTCTCTTGTCGGTTGCTGCGCGTTGTGTTTCCAAACGCTGGGGCCAGACTTCGCTTGGAAAAGATGAGCACGCAGAGATTCGAGGCTCCGAAAAATTGGAGCGGTTGTTTTGTGTCGAATTTCGGCCTCCGGTTGCCCTCAACGGGCCCCGAGATTGCCCAAAAAGTTATTCAGGATGAAAACCAGCCCTGGGAAACTTATCCAGACCTCCAGTGGCCCACGCACCGACAAATCGGAGCGCCAGATGTTTGGGCATGGCGCCAGATCGGTTGCCTCCAGGGGCCTACTCCGAGAGGGGCAAGGCTTCGGGCTGCACATCGGCAGCCCTCAGGTAGTCCTGGCTGGTCTCACCAGGCCCCCTCGAGGAGTCAAAGGCGGTCTCACCACCTCACCCTCGGGGCGCGGAGCGCCCCCCTGGGACGCCACCAGAGGCGGCGCCAGGGTGTTGAGACCGCCCTGGACTACTCGCGGGGCCTGTTGAGGCCAGCCAGGGCTACCCAGGGGGGGGCTGTCCGTGCACATCCCGAGGCCGTGCCACTCCGAGAGCGGGTGCCCTGGCAGCATCCCTGCTCGGGGACCTGCGCTCGATCCATACCCCTGGTGCTGCCCCCACTCTGGCTGCCAGGGTGGGGAGGAGGAGGAGGAGGAGGAGGAGGAGGAGGAGGAGGAGGAGGAGGAGGAGGAGGAGGAGGAGGAGGAGGAGGAGGAGGAGCCCCCGCCCAGCCTGCTTTCAACCATGCCGTGTGCGCCCAGCTTCCAAGAGCGCGCGCCTCGGCACGCACGCAAAGACTCACATGGCCTGAGGGTGGCTCCCTCTCCCCTCGACCGCTGCGGCCTCCCGCCTCGCGGGCCCCCTCTTGCCTGTGTCTCGCCTTGCCCCGGCGCGCCCTGCCGCTGCTCGACCGCCTTCTGATATGTTTGCGGCCGCTGGCTAAAAATGTGTGCGCCCATGGGGCGTACTTGCGCTGTTGCGTCCCACCGTTGCCCGACCGCTGCTTGGATACAAGCGGCCGCCAGCAAAAAGAGTGTGCCCAGCGGCTTGCCTGAGAAAAACTGATGGACAAAATCCTGCGCCACCCGCGCGGCTGACGTGCCAGCGCAAACTTCATCGCGCCTCCCAATGGGGTCCGAGCTCATGGGGCTGAGGGATCGCGCTACATGCTCGATGATTTTGTCTACGCCGACGTCGCCGATGCATCGGTGATGCATGAACGATGCATCAGCGATGCGGCGCGATCCTCCGACCCAAGCGGCTGATGGACAGAATCATGCAACCATCCCATCCTGAAACCAGAGTCCTGTACCACCCAGTCGGCGTTGAAATCCTGAGAATGGTGTGTCGGCACGCATCACGATGTTCACACGATTGTCCCCCAACGGGGCAGTTCCCTCATTGGAAATGACTCCTCGTAAGGGGCCTGTGAAGAGGGATCTTGGAGGGAGGGCGTATTTCAACATTTCTTGATGAGTCTTGGGTTTACACTGTGGCTCCTCCTCCTCATCCTCCTCCTCCACCTCCTCATCCTGCTCCTCCTCCTCCTCCTCCTCCTCCTCCTCCTCCTCCTCCTCCTCCTCCTCCTCCTCCTCCTCCCCCCTGGGCACAAGAGAACCAACTCGTAAGGCGTGCATGCGGATTGGCCGTGGCGGCTTGGAGGTGGGGAGCGTTGCGTAGTTGGTGGCAATCCAGAAGGGATTTTTCCGACTGCGCGTCTTTTGCGTAAGATTGGGGGAGTAGTGAAGGCCACGTCCTCTTGGACAGCGCACGCGCACTACATCGCAACGAACGGGCTGCATTCCAGAGACAGTAGGCGTGTAGTGGCATGAGGCACCATGTATTATTCTCACTCTGCCCGAAATTCTGCGGCCTGCGTACATTTCCGCGGCCCTGCCAAGGTGAGCGATTCCAGGAGCTCAAGTTCATCAATCAGAGCTTGTTCCACCTGGCGAAGTGCATCCAGACTCTGAGCGCGGGGAAGGCCGACCACATACCGTTCCGCGACTCGAAGCTCACGCTGCTGCTCTCCGAGAGCTTCCAGCGGAACAGGCGCGCGTTGTTTTTGATGATTTGTCAGTCTCGCCTTCTCCCCCAGACTAGGAGGAGTCTAGGAGGAGGGGGGGGAGGAGGAGGAGGAGGTCAGGAGGAGGGGGGGGAGGAGGAGGAGGAGTCTAGGAGGAGGGGGGGGAGGCAAGGTCCTCATCATCCTCCTCCTCCTCCTCCTCCACCCTCCTTTGGAGGAGCAAAGAACGGCAGTAGCACAAGCTTCGGAAGGTCCGCGCGGACGGCTTGGGCTCGGCGCCAGGCCCCCCCCCTCCCTGGTGTGCGGAGCGCCGCCCCGGGGGCCCAGCGCCCGATCCGAGAAGCCCGCGCGGACCTCCGAGAGTTTGTGCTTATGCCGCCGTTTGCTCCTGGTGACTTTGGGTCGGTTTTGCTAAGATTTGTCGCACCTGTGAAAGACTACGAGGGCCTCTGCGTCTTAATATCAGCCCTGTAGTAGGCGCACTTTTACTATCAAAACACTTGGCGGAACCAACTTCATGTCGACATCGAAAATGTAAAATTAAAGATTTCACGAAAATCTTCTGCGAAGTTCTCTGCTTCGAATCTGAGCACTCTTACGCGCGCAAGGAGCTCTACGAGGTTCCTGGCGGTGACCTGTTCACAGGCGACAGCTCCATCCCAACCCCCGACTTTTCGAAGAAACGTGAAGCGGGCAAGCAAGGCGGGAGACTTTGTGATACCCCCCCAGGAGGCCGTTCTTCGGACGCCCCCCGCACCCCTTGTCGAGGATGGGCGCCCCCCCTCGTATATCCCAGGGGGTGGACCCCACATGTTTGGTCCACTCGAAAACCCCACGAAGCCTGGGGCAGGGGTCGACATATCCCATGTTGTCTGTTCTCGGCCTGACGTCGCCCTCATCGTCGCCGGCAGGCGCCCTCGTCCTCGGCACTCGCAGCCGTTCCTTTCGCCCCCCCGGTGAGCGACTTGGGCGGTGTCGCCCGCGCGGCCTCTACCGAGTGCATTGGGATTGAGCGGTCTCGAGGGCGACCTCGGGCCTCCCCGGCTGAGATCCGAGGCTCCGAAGCTTGCGGGATCCACAAGCCCGGTGGGGAGTTTGACACACGTGTTCATGCGACACGCGTGTTACGCTTTCCTTCTGCTGGGTTGCCACCAACACCACTGCAGCATTCCCTTCCTCCTCCTCCTCATCCTCCTCTTCCTCTTCCTCCTCCTCCTCCCCCACCCCAGCATCGTCATCGTCATCATCATCATCATCAGCAGCAGCATAAGCATCATCATCGTCAGCATCAGAATCATCATGATCAGCAGCAGCAGCATCATCATCTTCATCATCATCGTCATCAGCAGCAGCATCATGTTCGTTAGCAACAGCATCAGCATCAGCATCATCATCGTTAGCATTATCATTATCATTGGTATCATCGCCAGCATCACCATAATCGTCAGCAGTACCATCAGCATCAACATCATCACCATGATCATCCCCATCCACATCCTCATCCACATCCTCATCACCATCATCATCACCATCATCGTCATCATCATCGTCATCGTCTTCGTCGTCGTCGTTTTCGTCCTTGTCGTCGTCGTCATCGCCATCGTCATCGTAATCGTCATCAGCATAGTCATCAGCATCATCATCATCGTCATCGTCATCATACGTAATCGTCGCCATTGTCAGCAGCATTATCAGCATCATAATCAGTATCGCCATCAGCATCGTCAGCATCATCATCCGCATCATCATCAGCATCAGCATCAGCATCATTATCATCCGCATCATAATCATCAGCATCATGAACATCAGTATCACCATCGCCATCGTTATCTTCATCGTCATCAACACCACCATCATCAACATCATGATCATCATCATCCTCATCATCATCATCATCATCATGTCCTTCTTTGTCGCTCGTCCGCCGTCCTCCTCTCCTTCGTCGTCCTTCTCATCGCCTACCTCGTCCTGCTCATTCCCCTTCTCCTCCTCCTCCTCCTCGAGCAGGAGGAGAGAGGAGGAGAAGGAGGAGGGGGAGGAGATGTGAAGAAGGTAAATAACAGGTTCTGCAAAACGACCGAGGGCTACGACGGCGTAGTCCTTTCCACAGGTGGGGAAAACGCTGCGTTTGTGGCTTGTTTGCGGGCTGTATTGGCTCCTGCCTGATAGACAGGCTGGCGAAGCGGTGCCACCACGTTGGCGCCCCGCGCGCACGCGCCAAGCGCGCGTTGGGTCCCCCCCGCTCCGCGCACGCATCCTCACGTGCAAAGAATCCGCCGACTAGAAGTTGGGCCCACCCCCATGGAGGCCGTGGACGCGTGAAAATATGTGCCCCGCGCGCACGCGCCCCCCCCCCGCCCTCGCGCACGTTTTTTTACATGTAAGGAATCCGCCGACTAGAAGTTGGGTCCCCCCCCCCGGGGGCTGTGGACGCGTGAAAATACGTTCCCTGCGCACACGCGCAGGGCGCATGTTGGACCCCCCTCCCTCGCGCACGTACTTCTACGTGCAAGGAATCCGCCGACTAGAGGTTGGGTCTCCCCTGGGGGCCCGCTGCGGGGAGAAACACGTGAAAACACGTGTCAAACGCATGCACGCCGAGACGCATGTTGAAGACCACCCCCTTCCGAACACTTTTTTCCACGTGTCCAATTCCGACGGCTAGAAGTTAGGTCCTGGGGGGCCCGTTGTGGCGAGAAACACGTGCCGAACGCGTGCACGCCGAGACGCATGTTGAAGACACCCCCCTTCGCACATATTTTTTTTTACATGTCGAATTCCGACGCCTGCTGCTCGACACTACATGGCCCCGTTGGCGCGCGCGGCCCTCGCGCTCACAGAGCCCGTGGCGCTCACAAGCCCTGTGCAACCGCCGGCGCGCCCGCCCCCAGCTGGGCCTGGGAGCGCCGCCCCGCCAGCGGGCGAAGCAGACGAGGACGCCGCCCTGGAGCAGCCTGCGGCGCGCCTGCGCACCGTGGCGGACGTCATCCAGGAGGCCGGGGTCCCATGGCGCCAGGCCGTGCAGATGGTCCAGGCGGTGGTCACAGAGCTCGCCCCGCCCGCGCCGAACGGCGAGGGGCCTGGCCAGGCACCCGCCCCCCCCTGGCCGCGCGGGGACGTCACCTTCAAGTGGCGACGCGCAGGCGCGGGAGCTCGCCACCGCGATCAGCGGCCTGGTGGAGGGGGCCCGGCCCGCTTGCCCAGGCGCCCCGGCCCTGTCCGTCGTCGAGTTCTCCTAGGAGGTCACCGACGCGGCGGCAGTCGGGGCCAAGGTCCGCGACATGTACGGCGACGCGGGGTCCGGGGTCATGGTCCATACCATCGTGGAGGCCGAGGGGAGGCGTGGCGCCGGCCGGCGAACGGCTGGGCGGTGGAGAAGGGCGGCGACGCACACGTCTTCACCCTCCGCTTGTTCATCCCGCCGCCATCCCGCCGCGCCAGGGGATGAACAAAATCACCACGGCCACCATTCGGTGGAAGCGGTCGACCGGGACCATCACGGTGCAGGGCACCAAGGCCAACCTCACGGAGAACGCGGGCGCGTGGACGCGGGCCTTCGGCCGCATGGCTTCCAGCCGGGTCCTCGGCCCGTCCGAGGGCGCGCCTCCGCCGACTACGCTGGACCAGCCCTGGCGCCGCTGAGCCGGGCCGGCGGGCCCTGGGGCGTGATTGACTGGCTGCGCCCGCCTCGTCCTCCGCCCGCCCCCCTTTGCTCGCGCCCTGCCCCCCCTTCCCTCTCTCGCTGCCTCAGGCCGGCTTGCTCTTCCTCCGTCAGAGGCGAGGCCCGCTGCGGCTGGGGAGCTTCCCGCAGCGTAGCCCAGGCTTGGGCCGGGCTGAGCGCGGGATAGAGCATTCTTCCCCCAGTGGTCGGTCGGGCGCAGGGTCGAACCCGACGTGGGCTGGGCTCGGCGCGCTCGAGCGGTGGGGCTGGGGAGGGACCCAGGGCGCGCAGCTGGCCGCCCCGCTGGATGGCACAAGGGCGCCACCCCTCCTCCTTCTCCTCCGCCGCGGGACGGGAACGCGATGCGGTGGGGGGCCTGGGAAGTGGCGGCGCGGGCAGCGAGGCCACCCCCTGCCTGTCCCCCGCGGGGGGAAGGCCCAGCCCCGTGATCGCCGCCGTCTTCGTCGGTGCTGTCGTCGCCGGCGCCGCCGCCACCATCGCCGGGCTGGGTCGGGTTTCGGGCGTTGCCGCCGCACCGAGCCCCCGCGCACCCCGAGCGTGGGTTGCCTGCCCGCTGCCTGACAACCTGGGCGGGCCCTAGGGCGGCGTGCTTCTCCCAGGGAGGGGGGGGGTGCGTTCTAGCGTGCCCCCCCCCCGCCAGGGCCCCCTCGGCCCACACGCCTCTCCTTGCCTTCCCGTTCCCTCCCCCCCTGGGACCCCCAGGGGGCGGTATCCGCTCCTACTCATTGGGGGGGGGCGCGGGGGGCCCGCCCGCTCCCCAGTACCCCCGGGGGGGCGGGAAAGCGCGCCCTTGCCCGACGCCCTTCGTTGGCTGTGGCCCGCAGGCCCGAAGGGGCGGTGGTGCCAGTCACGGGGCGGTCACGCCGCCACCCCAGCGGGCCCCCTGACAACTGAGGTCCAACAACTGAGGTCCTACTCCTCCTCATCCTTTTCCTCCTCCTCCTCCTCCTCCCCCTCCTCCTTCTCCTCCTCCTCCTCCTCCTCCTCCTCCTCCTTTCTCTCCCTCTCTCTCTCTCTCTCTCTCTGTGTCTCTATCTCTTCCTCTCTCCCTGCATGTGGCTCCCCCCTCCCCGTCGTCCTTCGTCTGGCGGCCGGCCTGTCCTTACCTGTCGTCCTCCCTCCCTCTCTCTCTCTCTCTCTCTCTCTCTCTCTCTCTCTCTCTCTCTCTCTCTCTCTCTCTCTCTCTCTCTCTCTCTCTCTCTCTCTGTCGACTACACGCAAAAATTCCTTCGCTCGAGTGACCCTCTGGTGCGGGCCTTCTGGGGGTCCCCGATCGCCGCATGCGAGGCGGCCGTGGCGTCTTGCGCGCTTGTGGTTGGCCCCCCCGCGGCCCCCAAGAAGCCGCGCACAAGAGATCACTCTTGCACGGGGTCACCCTTGCGTGTAGCCGACTCTCCCCCTCCGTTTCTCGCTCTTCGGCTCGTCGCTCGCCTGCCCGTTTCTGTCCCGTGCCTGGCCCGCTTTTCCCTATCGGCCCGTCCCGTGGCCCGAATGAGAGCTGTGGTGGCCCGCACCGCCACGCTGGCCATTAACCGGGCGTGGGACGAAGGTTTGCAGACTAGCTGCCGTGCAACAGTTGTGAAGAAGTAGGGGGGTTGGAGCTGACCTTCCCAACACCTCACATGATGAATTAGATGTTGGCGCGATCATCATCAAAACAAAGCAAAAGTTAGCATAACGTGCGACGCGCTTGCTCGAACGAGAGAAATAGGAACGTGTCCGCACCCCAAAAAATCCTGGCAACGACACTGCGCCCCAGTCCGGGTGCTGACAAGAGCGTCCTGGGCTCGAGGTGTCCCTAGCTTTTGGTCCATTTTGGACCTTCGGGGTCCTATTTGGACCTCCCCTGAGGTCCGGGCGTTGCAATTTTGTTTCGCACTGAGGAGGAGGAGGAGGAGGAGGAGGAGGAGGAGGAGGAGGAGGAGGAGGAGCAGGAGGAGCAGGAACAGGAGCAGGAGGAGGAAGAGGAGGAGGAGGAGGAGCAGCAGGAGAAGGAGCAGGAGGAGGAGGAGGAGGAGGAAACTTTTTCGCCCAGTTTCGGGCCCAAGGACCATCACAGACCGATCCAGTCCGAAAGATGCCGCAGAAAGATGGGATCTAGGGCTCCGGTCGTGATTTCTCGCGAATTGCCATTTTCTCGCAACGTCGGGTCTCAGGGTCTGAGACCGCCTCGGGGGCTGCAGGGCGTCCTGGGCAGCCCTGGGAGCGGACCGCTTCTGTTCATGCCAAGCCACGAGATGCTCGCGTTGTCACAGTAGCCTCTCGGCTTTGGGTCCTGAGGCCGTCGAGGATACGCCGTCCAATGTCTTCGGTGTGTTGGAGATTGTGCCCGCCCCGCAGAAAGGTCTTGACACGTGTGTTTTGCGGTGGCCGATGTGGAGACAATGGATCCCGTCCGTAGCGACATGTGATCAGTCGGTCGACGATGAGGTGATCGAGGAGCGAGCAACATTTCGCATGGCCCAGTGGCTCGATCGTTTTTTGGGGTGGGCGTATTAGTTGCCGTGGTTGGGGCATGGATTAGGCCACGTGATCGGGCAGCACGCGTGGGCTTCAGATCTGCCAAACACGGAGTTCGTGCAGGCGGAAGCACCGTCCTGCTCTGGGCAGTGTTGCAGGAGCTAGGTTGAGCGTCCCCCTTGAGCACAAAGCCAGAGGCACACTGACACTGAAAAAGGGATGAAGAAGCGGAGCTGAGAGAGGGCGGCCATGTCCGACAGCAGTGGAGAGTTGTTGCCCTAGTGACCGACGGTGTTGTAAGTTTCGCCCCCATACGCTTCGCTGGAGAAGGAGGAAGAGGAGGAGGAGGAGGAGGAGGAAGAGGAGGAGGACCAGTGTAAACCCAAAAGTCATCAACGATGTTGGAATAAACCCTCCCTCCAAGCTCCCTCTTCATAGGCCCCTACAGCGGTCCATTTCCATTGGGGGAACTGCATCCTGAAGCGTGCCCATATCTTGTTCTCGGGATTTCAACGCCACGTATCAACCTGACTGCTGCGTCTTGACGATCCAGAATCGCACCAGCACACCATTTTTGTGACTCCAACACAGCGAATCAGCATGACTGTCCCGCATAATCCTGAATCCTCCCAAGAACACCATTTCTGGCGCTTTGTCATGGGAGCCCGTGGAATTCTTGCAATGTGTTTCTATGTTTTATACATACATAAATTTTATATATGTATCTAAATATGTATACATATATATACATACATATATATATGTGTGTGTGTGCCTGCGCGGCGCTAATGCGAGAGCCGCATGTTGAAAAGGAACCGCCCTCGATCCGTGAAACTCTTGCAATTGATTTAAGCGAATGTGCGCGGCGCTAAGGCGATAACCACGTCTTGAAAACCACCCGCCCTCAATTCGTGAAACTCTTGCAATTGTTTTAAGCGAATGTGCGCGGCGCTAAGGCGAGAACCACAGTTTGAAAACCACACGCCCATCAATTTTGAAACTCTTACGAATGTCTAAAGGGAATGCGCGCGGCGCTAAGGCGAGAGCCACAGTTTGAAAACGACCCGCAATTCGTAGAAATCTGTAAAACTCTTGCAATGGTCTAAGACGAATGTGCGCGGCGCTAAGACGAGAGCCACATGTTGAAAACCACCCGCCCTCAATACATGAAACTCTTGCACTGTTTTAAAACGAATGTGCGCGGCGCTAAGGCGAGAGCCACATTTTGAAAGCGACCCGCCTTCCATCGGTGAAACTGCTGTCATGGTTAAAGCTTCAGAGTCACAAGTGGTGAGGAAGTATCAGGCGGAACGCCTGGCCCGCCCTAAAAACTGGCCTCGGGGTGCGACAGGGAGGAGTTATCTATAAGGAGAAGGATTCGGGCAGGAGGAGGAGGAGGAGGAGGACGGGGGGGGGAGGAGGAGGGGAGGAAGGATGAGGAGGAGAGGAAAGAGAGGAGAGGGAGGAGGAGGAGGAGGACCAGCAGAGCGGTTTGATTAAACGCCCAGCTGGACGGCGTTGCTGGCCACCCTCACCCCGAGCGCCGTCAGCTTCGACGAGAATGTGGTGACCTGCAGGTTCTTGGAGAGCACAGGCCGCTGCCCGCCTCCCCCTGTCCCCAGGCAGCTGGGCAAGCTGCGCGCCAAGCCATTTCCACCTCCGCCCTTCCTCCTCCTCATCATCCTCCTGCTCCTCCTCCTCCTCCT